ATTCTATTTCCAGTATTAATTATTAATTAATTATTAATAATTAATTAACTTCAAGACATTACCTATGCATTCTAACGTATTTAACACATCTAATATTCGTTTCAATCGGTAGATATTTACTGAATTACTCTATAAAACCAGGATCTCGAGATGTTCATTACCAATTTTTGAAGTAGCAATTTTCTATTAGTTTGTCGAGCATATCAAACTACAATTTACTGATAGAAAAACCTTTCAGAATATATCTTAGACTAATAATCGGTTTGAGATGATTTCACCATCGTTTTACATGAATGAAGATTAGCAAGTTGCCAAAATATAAATGATTTCAATCGCTAAAAATAAATTTTTATCCAGAAAATGTAGTAGACCAAGAAAAAACTGAAAATATTTTTAATCAAATAAATTTGCATTATATACCAATCGATTATTTGTCAACGATATACCTATCTTCCTAATCACATGTATACTAGTATATATGCACATAAGTACCAGTGCTACTTGATTATGGTTCAACTGTATATGCTAACATTCTTTTCATTAAATGATGCAATGAAAGTATAAATTACTCATATCATACTAACGGAGATGAGGTTTTTTTTCTAAAGAGTTCGTCAACATCGTGTAAAGTTATGCTTTATGGTTTAAAATCATGCAATTTAACATACAACAGCAACATAATACAAGAGGATCGCTTCGATGTATCAAACAATTTAAAGGATGTAGATAGTAAACGAAACTCTGTATCCTATGTGTCACCAGTCAAACTTGATTCGATAACGACAGAAAATGATTATTTAAACGTTCACGTCAAATCTGTGGCAAACGAAAAAGTAAGAATTGATTATCAAATTTGATCATATAAGATCTTAAAATTAATTGAAAGATTGTTTTGCGTATTTATTTCAGACGTACAATGGTCATGAAGTTGCTCCTGTTCGCATTTTAATACAAGAAACGTCACGTGGTCGGCATAAAGTGTGCATTTCTCAAACTTTGTTGCGAACGAATATCTCTGAAGTATAGTTTAATTAATTATGGGAAGGTGAGGAGGGAAATGATTTATCTATGTTATGTGCTTAATAATCATAGGAAACTTTATTTATGGCAAAGACATTCTATCCGAAATAATAAAAACATTAAAATGTAATTGGTTGATGAATCGATAGTTTTCATGCATTGTGTCTGTTGATACTTCTAGTTTAATCTCTTAAACTGTGAATTATTTAGAATCTCCAGACCCTGTAATAATCACATAAAAATACTTGTCTTTTAGAAAAATACGTAGTACTCTAAACGGTTTTTTACAATTTCAATGGTCAGCAAATAAATGGTCAACCAATAAATTACTTATTGCTCACCTAATCTTAATAATGTGTATGTAATGTTCAATTTTCTAAATGGGGTATCGATTTTTCTTTTTTTTGATATTTAATTCTACGGTTATAAACTATTAAATCATTATACTCAAAGTTCAGTATATTTTTTATTATACTTTTAGTTCTGGGCGTATGTTATTTCTTTTTTTTTCTTTTGCCTGTCTGGCACAGATAAAATTCTTTTTTTAAAAAATTTAGTTCTGTGTTAACTCCTTCACTGTTTTATGTAAAAAGAATTTCTAATGAAACAACAAGAGAAACCGTAGAAAAAGTAGTTTTGTGATTCGATCTACTCAGAATGATTCGACGTCGTTATTACAATACAAATTATTATCATCGAAATAAATTACAGCAGTGGTTTAGTCGTACAATTCAACGTTACAGATATAAACTACAGCAATTGTCACTGGGACGTTGCCAGAATTTTTCTAGAAAAGACCCGTGCATCAGAAAGATTTTTTTGCTCTAGAATTTTTCTCTTTTTATCAGTTAAGGGAGACATGCATCTGGTCAATTTCGTTTTGATTTGAGTACTAATCTAAGTGCCAAGCTATTGACAACTAATATTCAAGACATTACCACTGTCAAGCTTCTCCATTTCAAGAGATTAATTCAACAAATGTTTGTGAGAGAGAGGAATCGGAATAAAACATTGACTAAATTCTGAAGTTTTTGAGTATGAACATCAGTTTTTCATTCCTTCCTAAAGATAGTGGCGTAGCCACTGGATAGGCGCCGCGGCTTCAATAAATGCTTTTGGACCGCTTCCATGCTAAAAGTTTTATAATTCACACCACTCTGAGATAATATTTTATAAACAAATTGATTGCGTAGATGAGTTCGTTAGATAAACAATATTTTGATCGAATACTTATGACAAACTCTTCCATTGTGTGCATAATGTATGCCTACTATGCAAGAAAAAGCACGACACCAAAAATAGAGGAATTCTGATTTCCCGTTTTTCTGTATCTTGAAAAAAGTTTGGCGCAACGCTTTTCCTACAAACAAAACTTTGACTACGCCACTACCTTAATAGTGTTATCGTCTGGAATAAACATTACACCGTCGGCTGTACTACAATTAATGAATAAATTGAATAGACAACATTTTGTATGATTTTGCTATTAGCAGTTTGTTTACTTTCATATATTGATCGCTGTGTCTACTACTGACAATATCATATCCGTACAATAAGTCAACAGATTTTTTTGTTCGATAAACATTAGTTTAACTAATAATAATTTAGCACTAGCAACCTGTGAAGTAAAATGACTATTCTCTGCTCTCTAAACAAAATTCGATTTTTAAAAAACGGAAAAGTGTTTAAATGTTCGTTAAGAAAATAAGCGATTGCACAACTATCTTCATATATGAAAAAACTAATAACTCACTAAAGATTAAGCGCACTAAGATCTTCGACTTTTATTTGAAAACAAACTTCGCTATGAGATTTAGATTGATCAACGATATATGTTTCTATTCATTTCAGTAGATAGATATCCTAAAATTTTCGAGTTTGATTCTGAGGCTCTTAAAAAAAACTCATACCAATAATAAACGATAATAGTGATGCTCTGGAACGTGCTCAAAAATTTAGAGGTCAATCTCATTATTCGAAAACTACTGGTTGGGATAAAAAATCCATTTTACCTTCATAGACGAGAGAATCTTGCGTTGATGATGAGATACAAAAAGTCCTAAAATTATTCGGACGTTGTACATTCTAATTCATTTGATTTATTCCTATTCGGATATATTATATGTGGGCTCAGGAATTTTGACCCGATCTGACCCGGAGGAAACGCATAAATTTTTCGGAGCGGTCCGTAGAATGTATACGGAACGGATGCTCACGAAGGAATCTCACGAGGTGATAAATCGCTTTTTGATCGACATCTAGTGAGCTATAGGTTATCGATCATGCTGATTCCGAATATGACCATGGGACTTCCCCATAGCTCTTCGAAGATCCAGTCGTCTAGAAAACCAGTTTTTCAGAAACCGCCCAAAAATAACCCAAGCCTTTCTTAATAATGCAGGGTTGTAGCCCGCAAATTTCTGGTTAAACAGAAACATCCCCCAGCTACACAATCTTTCTTTGCAAAGTTATAGAATTTATAAGAAGAGCCCTAAATTAATTTTTTCCTTCTTATTTCTGTAGCTTTGAGCTGACAATGAACAATTTAGGGCTCTTCTAGGGAGAAGCCCCATAGTCATATTCGGAATCAGCATGGTCGATAACCTATAATCCACTAGATGTCGATTAAAAAGCGATTTATCACCTCGGGAGGTTCCCTCGTCAGAGGACAACCGACTACGTCAGTGACATTTTCGAGAGAAGATAGTGCCGTTTTTGCATATTTAATGTGAGTGTTGCCTTTCCATGTTGTCTTGTAATTTTATCGGCTTTTTGGGAAACAGGCTGGTCCCGCATGCCGACCATTAAATTGCAGCCCGATCTGACCTATACACAAGCTTCAAAAAAGCTGAACCGGTCTGGCCTCTGGGCCTCCATGGGGTTTTCCGACGATTGATTAGAGAATATGATACTTCTACGAAAAAAAAACATTTTTAGATTTTATAAAAATCTACATTTGTTAGTTTTGTTTATTTCGAGCTTTGTGGTGAGTACTCTCACCATCATCAAGAGACAAATGGACAAGACTAAGAAAGATTATTATTATACTGTAGAGTGGGCAATCTGACATATTGAAAAAATTAATAAATCAAGAAAGATACGATACTTAACATGTATTCGCGAATATATGTTTATACATGAGCTTTTATGAATATGGGGCCAACAAAATGGTGAGACTTTGAGATATATAGTATATATGTGTGAATAGAAACAAATAAAAGAAATCTGGAACGTACGGTGCTCGAGTAATGAGACTCATTGTATATTCAGATGATACATTTATGTAGTTAGGTCTTGGTTATACAACAGCAAAAGTCGCATGTCTTCGTCTTCTTTCATTGTAAAGTTATACAAACAGTATCCAAAAGTAGTCTTTATTTCCTGAATGCATACTAATCTATGCATTCGCTATTTTATTTTATTTGGAATCGACATTTTTCTTCCACTAGTATAACGTTAATTAACGTGTTATACTTCTCTCAATTATACACTTTATTTTTATCTTTTTCGCTATCGACTACTTGTCCAAATATTTTTTTAATGATTAAAAAAACTCGATTAGTCGATTCTTATAATTTAGTAAATGACTTTTTTTCTTATTTGACATACTGCGTAAAATCTACATGATTATTGACATTATTAAATTTCTGTCTTGATCATCTTAAAAACTGTTTCACTTTGAAATATTTTATTAAAATTTGAGTTTATTTATTTACATCAAGTTGATGTTGAACGATAAATAATATATTTGCCATTCAACATTTAAATTTCAATGAAAAACAACTATATACATAGAGAAAAATGATTACTATTATATTTGTTTCCAAAAGGAATATCTAATGTTTTCTATTATCTACCATAGGTCCTACAAAAATGTACTATCAAACAACTAGATATAGAAATGAACAATAATAGAAACATTTTTTTACTGATAAACTTTATAAAATTATTTTTAATCGAATAAGTTCCATATTTTTGTTTTAACAATAATTAATTAATGTATTGATACTACACGGTTTCAAACAACAATCACCAACTAACGTATTGCTAAATTCTGAAAATAAAATAGAATTGTTTAAGTCTACAGCTTTTCAAGTAGAAATACGTTCGATTAAATGGACTTTTATAAGGTTTACCTTCTTTGCATATGCAATTAAAAGAAGTGTAGCTTAATACTCATTATAAATTAATTATGCAAATTTGTATTTACATATTTCAGCGGGTTAACATTACACACATCATAGTAATTATACAAAGTATAGAACTAACCGTACGAGGGAACCTCTCCTGATGTAACATTCCGTTTTCAATGATTTATGTGCCGATCGATAGAGGATAATGAGCTAGTAAAAGCTCTAAAAGCATTTGGGCTCACAGTACTTTCAAAGTTATGAACATTTTTTGTTTGCCTGCGCAAGGGCATCTACTAATACTAAAAATTCTGTAACTTAGTGAAAACAACCAATTAAGAGCTGAAATTTTTGTCCATCACTGTGCTGGATATCTATTTTCATCGCAGAAGTACTTGCTAAGTTATTGAACTTTCCCTACTTAAGGAAAACTCATGTGTTTTCCAAAGTGACAAAGGTAGTAAGGAATAAAGAAATGTGATATTATAGAAACAAAAGACAAATGGCATTGAAACACATGAGTTTTCCTTAAGTAGGGAAAATTCAATAACTTAGCAAGTGCTTCTGTGATAAAAAAAGATATCCGGGACAGTGATGGGAAAAAATGTCAGCTCTTAATTCGTTGTTTTCACTAACGAGGGAACTTTTCGAAGTGATTAAACGCTTTTTGCTCGAAATCTAGTGGGTTATAGGTTATCGACCATGCTGATTACGAATATGACCATGGGGTTATCCTTAGCCCTTCGAAGACTTGGTTTTCTAGAAAACCAATTTTTCAGAAACTCTAAAATATATCTCGAACCTTTCTCAATGAGGCATGATTGCAGCCCGTAAATTTCTGATTGAAATGAGACATCTTCAAACTTTACACGACCTTTCTTTGCAAAGTTATAGAATTTAGAAGAAAAGCCCTAAATGTTCGTTGTCAGCTCAAAGCTACAGAAATAAGAAGAAATTAATTTAGAGCTTTTCTTCTAAATTCTATAACTTTGCAAAGGAAGGTCGTATACAGCTGGGAGATGCCTCATTTCAATCAAAAATTTACGGGCTACAATTCGTTAAGAAAGGTTTAAGTTATATTTTAGAGTTTCTGAAAAATTGGTTTTCTAGAAAACCAGGTCTACGAAGGGCTAAGGATAACCCCATGGTCATATTCGTAATCAGCATGGTCGATAACCTATAACCCACTAGGTTTCGAGCAAAAAGCGTTTAATCACCTGGAAAGGTTCCCTCATAAATTATGGAATTTTTAGTATTAGTAGATGCTCTTGCGCAGGCAAACAAAAAATGTTCATAACTTTGAAAGTACTGTGAGCCCAAATCCTTTTAGAGCTTTTACTAGCTCATTATCCTCTATCGATCGGCACATAAATCATTGGAAATGGAGTGTTACATCTGGAGAGGTTTCCTCGTTAGTAAGAAGATTTAAATCTTGAGAAAAAGGAAAATGTAGTTAACAATCTCATTTATTCTACTAAGGTTTTATTAATCGATTTCTTCAGTATACCAGCTTGTTCGCAAAAAGTTAGTCATGAGTATATAACTGCGTAGTGTCGACCAAAATTGAGTAGAATGATTTATAGTGGATATTCTTGTAACAAAGATCTTGATATCAGAAATATCAGTAGACTTTGGAACTCAAAATCAAAAGTTCATCAAGATCTTGGGTACAAAAAGTTCCTGCATCATTTTCTTCCAGATGAGAAGCATCACAAACGGATAAATTTCAAAATTTGATAAAGTACATATAATGGAATAAATACTTACGTGTATTGTCAATAACTGCAACAGTACGAGCATACGGATCTTCATAATCTAATACAAGTTGTCGTTTATCATGTGATTCAATTGTTTTTGTTAGTTCTTTTGCTTTTGAACATACAGCTTCTAACATTCGAATAAGTGACGGACCACATATTTTTCTTACTTTTCGTTCACGTCGATTTTGTTGAATATTATTATTTACTATTCCAATCGATGTATCAGATATTTCTTGTATAATATTTGAATTGGAAATGGTCGATGAATTTGATATTACCAAATTTAGATTATTTTTACTATTGGATAAATCAACTATACTATTATCAAGTGTCATGGTTTTTACTAGATGTGTAAGAAAAATAACTTTAACGATAACGAATATTATTTCAAACATTATCTGATGTATAGAACAAATTTTTTCAAAAATGAAATAGATATATACGTGTTATAAAACATCTGTTTCTCTTTTAAAACAAATTCATCGTATAGTAAATTGTACAAATACAGATACTATGAAAATTAAATAGATATGTTATTATTAAAAAAGAAAAAAAAAAAGGAGAAGAAGAAGAAAAAATCCATCTTCATTCTATTGTCACCATGTTTAATAACAAAATAAACATGGAAGTAACTAAATATTTTTTTCCGTATAAAAAAAAAAAAAATCATTCATCATCAATACCAGATCACATAAACAAATATATTCTTATTTGATTGAAAAGATATATATTAGATATACGACAAGTTCAAATAAAAGAAAGGCTTAGAAACTAAATCAATATGATTATGTGTGAAGAACGATGATTATAAGGAAACAATTAGTTATTTATACAGTACGATATATGGAACAAAACTGTCCTGTTTTTTAATACTTATAATGAATAAACGTATCTTAATAAAAAATTATTTTTAACCAAATTTAGTCCTTCTTATACAAGATAAATTAGGAGACAATCAGTATCATATCAAGTAAAACGTAATCTCATTAAAAGATAGATCTTATTCTGATTATGTTCATCTGATACAGCATACATATTTATTCATAAATTTAGAATTTTTAAATCTTCTTACATGAAAATGATTCAGCTATGTACTTTGCAAAAAAAAAAGTTGAACGCTGACTTTCTTATATTTTAACTAAAATTAACATTGAAATTTTGGACTATACAATCTAAGTGAGTCGAAAGAGTAAAGAAACACTGTACAGTAAAGTAAAACAGACTTTTTGAAGCAAGGAAAGCAGAAGTAGAGGGAGAAAAGTTCGTCCTAATTATTTTTTGATAACCTTAATAGAGGAAGCAAAAATTTTCAAAAAATAAGTTATTTCATATGTGAAAAATATCTTTGGAATGGGATAAAAACTCAGTCAAAATCGTCGAGACAAAAGTAAAAAAGGTGGAAAAGTCACCATTGAATTTCAACAATTAATTACTATTTGAGATCGAAAGTCTCGTTTTACAAAAATATAAACACTGATCAAATACCTAGTTTCGTCTCATCTTTAGGCTTTTCGAACGCAGCCAAGGATGTAAAAATTTGTTTTGAAAAAAAAATGTTCAAAGATACTTTTAAGGTTAAAATTTTGCAACTCTAATTTCAGATATAACTTTTGTTTTGTCAGTAGAATTAAGTAAAAAAATGAACATTTGAAATCAGACGACAGTTTTGCTTCTTTTCACCTTGAATTACATTATTGGGATCATTTCTTTTAGTCTTTCTTTAGTTTTGTAATGATTAATAACAATGCTCTTGACCGAACACATATACTGGCAAAAAATGGCATTATTCTTTTTAACTACTGTTCATCTCAAAATATAGTGCAGTCGGGTTTGTTGAATAACTCCGCAACGCTGATAGCTATTGAGTTCGGATTTTTACTGTTAGAAAGAGGGTGGATGAAGGTATCTTTTCACATCCGAGCCAAAATCCCTTAGAGGTTTTCTAGGGGGTTTCTGGAAAACCATTTACTTCCATTAAGTATGTTTTCAAGTTCAATTTAGCAGTATTGTAGCCCAATGTCTACTCT